TCTTTTCTGCAACTTTACTGAAGAATTTGGCCTTGACAATAACTGGTCTTTTGGGAAGATGACCTTTGCCAAGAACTTTGTAGTATCCAGCCTGTCCAACATCAATAACTGGAGCCTTCTCAGATGGTGCATCAAGATATTTGGCTCTGCTCACTCAAGAGGGACCACAGTTTGTCAAGATTTACTGATGGGCAGTGCCATTTTATTGTTTGTCTTGTGAAATAATCTGTTACCAACTTTACCAAAGTAACCAGGGTTGTATTTGTCAAAGTTAATTCTGTGATGATGCTGACCACCAACATTACCCCCACCACCTGGATGCTTGCGGTTTTGCCAACGCGACCATGTCCATGGCTGACTTGACCACGAAGCTTTCTTGTTTTCTTTAATTTGGTGGTCTTTATGACGAATGAATATTCCGGGAAAAAAGCTTCATAATTTGTTTTCTCTTTTTAAGTTCTTTGCGAAATAGAGATTTTTTAATGCTATTTTTATAGATCAACGTTAAAAACGTTTTTTCTTTCTGCCTCAGACATGTAATTCGTCATCAAATATTAAATAACGTATGGTGCTCGATATCAAAGGGCAAACAATTATAGAAGATCAAGCTCAAGCTATGTAAGAAATCATGTGACATCTTTGATGGGTTCTTACAAGTTTGAATACAAAAGTAATTTAGTTACATTTTATATCAAAACTGATCTTTTAAACAATTCATACGAACGTATAAGTTGATATTAGAAAATTAATATAATAATACAATAGCTGTTTACTATTTTAGTACTGTTTAGGTACGCGTTATTCAACAAAAGAATATGTAGTTGTTTCCCTTATAAAATGTAAATTTAGTCCCTTTCATTTTTCACAATGAAAAATATAATTTTAACATATCATTTTCTTATTTGGTTAGCTAATACAATCTAAAATTGTTCTTTATTGAAAGAATGATCGCGCCGTAACGCTGTGTACCTTGCCCCTCAATTTTAAAGACTTTTTTAACCCACCATTTTTTTAAAGAGGCAGAGATCGCGGGCAGTATTTTTTAAAAATTGAAGATGCTTTAGACTGAACTATTTACTGTCATTTGTAGCTGTCTAGCGATCAAAGATTATAAATTCGGTTAATCAACGTGACGTCATTATATTACATTTACTCAACTTTTCGCTGCATGTGTTTCTATAACAACAATATACAAACACTAAAGATAATAGTAAAACTGCCTCCAAAAAATGAAAAGAAGCAACCTTCAAATAAAGAATACTTATATTTGTTATTATACAGTCAGAATCGCGACTTTAAAATAAGAAAGTCAAACAAGTGTTAAAAACAGATGCAGGTTGTGTTTAAGTTGCTTAACAACACCCGCAGCTCAAGTGCTATCCATCGCCTTATAGAACTGAAGCGAAACAAAATACATATTGCAAAATGTGAACCATATTCATAAAATTATTTGGATTTAATCGTAAAACAAATACAAGTAAAACACAGTACTATCATGACTGTGTGAATGCTTTTAAACATAATGTGCACCGAGACAATTACATCGGCACTTTAAAGCTGTTAAACTTGTTACTTGAAACGTCCAAACTTATTTTTAGATCTAACATAGATAAGACACATATTTTTAATCGATACACAACACACTTGGTGAAATTCATTAAAAGCAAACTGAACAGACGCGAATATTCAAAACGTTTGTCTATAAATAAATATTCTACTTCCTTCAACATATTGAATGTGTTCGAAAAGAAATTCACATAGTTATACCCCTACCTATGCTATAGGAACAAATTCTTCCAACAATTATTTAAGTCAGCAAATGAAGGTCGCGATGAGGTAACATACATTTGTATAGAAGTAAAACGTAAACATGTTACATTTTAGTACGCTTATTGGGATGTATGTTTTTTTTTTACCGGTAATAAAAATATATTCTTTATTTTAAATAATCTTAAATAAAACAACCAGCGATGTATACCAACATTTTGCTTATAAGTAGTTGTACTAATATTATATTTCTATTATGACTTTTACATTGATAAAATTAAAATAATAATTGTTCTTAACAAAACTAAATGCCACAATACTAAACAATAATATTTAGGTTTTTCTAAATAATTATCCATGAACGGGTTGTACCTGTATTACGTTTTTTAAAGGTTGTAATTTGATAGGCACATGTCTAATTATAACTAGGTACACAAATGCTATCAATTACCCTTCGTACCGAATGATATACTATACTTACATATAAATAGGTCGATACTCAAAGAATGCTAACAGTGGACGGTCTTATCATATGTTTGCAAATGAAAACGCTTTATAAATGTGTAATAGTCTTGTTATTTTGTTTATTGATATACCAACACATTTGCATTTATATAATAATATTGTAAAATAATTTAAATAACACTGTTTCGTGGTGTTTCTTTTATACGAACTGTTAAACTGTCTAATCCGGTTACTTGTATCTCAAATTTTGCTTGTATGACAAAACATATTTAAGCTTGCTCAACAGCTCTTACCCCAACACTCTCTTATATTGGGCCACTCGTATGTTAAGGTACCACTACAAGTAAACAAAATCTACCTTTTAGTAAAAAACCAAATGACTCAATAATATTTTAGAAGGTTGAGATGTAGATAGATAAACTACTGAAATCATAGAAGGTAATATATGTTACAGTTTTTGTTTAGAATAAAGAAAAATGGTATCATAAAAATGTGTTCACTTTACAGCGGACATTGCACATACACACTGTTTTCGATCATACAACAGGTTTTGTCCGAAAGTAATTTATTAATACCCTAGGTGGTACGGGATTTAAAAACATAAAATAAAGAAGACTTTTTGAAAAGTGTTTGCATTCCGAACATTGAGCGTTAATTAGAAACCTATGGTTTGTGATCTGTATGAATAACACATAATTTAATGGAATTAAATTGGTTTAAGCTTATTTAAATCATTGTGTATGAAGTTAAACTATAAATACAATTTTTTTTAACTGGGAAATTTCACTCAACTAAACAAAAAAGTTAAAAATATGCAGTAACTGATGCACTTTATCGTACAAAAAACGTAATGACTGTAAACACTATAATCATGAAAATAGCTAAGATAACAGACATAATATTCAAATTACCTAGTGTGTAGGGTAGTTGATGGAACCGCCACTGTTTTATCACAGAGTTTACCTAATGAATGATATTGAGAAAGATTACTACGAGTTTATGTATGCTTTGATTGTCCTTCTAGAGTACCAGTCGACACTATTGGATTATACAACTGAAGAGGAACAGATAGTATATTTAATACTGGAGGTTTGACATGAGATCAAGAAAGTCTAAAAGAAATGACTAGATATTGTTATTTTGTTTTCTAGTGTTAAAAAAGTTAGGAGATGTCACAATATATGTTGCTTTTCCTTCAGGAGCTAACTATACATCAATCAATTAAAGTGTTCGACTAAAAAGTTCGTTATTGTCTGTAAAAATATATCAGCAGCAACCAGAACAGATGGAGAACATGCTACATCTAACCCAGAACATAGCTGATTTTGTAACGAGAGAAAAATGTCACAAAGAGTGAAAGCAACAAAGAAAAGAAACGGGAAATGTAAATTTTATAATAGTAGCAAAAATGTGACATAATGTGTAAATTTAAATCCATCCAAAACTATTTTAAATCAAACTTAAACTTAGAGAAGAATGGCGGATAATAAAACCAAAAATACAACATTAACTCTATACTACTCGATATTAAACGAATAGGAAAATAAAACAAAACAAACATGAATAATACCGTTGCAATTGTTTCCGTAATTATTATCTATACTAAACACATTTATTAAATAACATAAAATTGACTACACTCATATCTCTGTGCTACGCTCACCAATTGAGAGAAGGACTTATATTAGAATTATATTTTTTTTGATGTGATAAATGAAGGGGACTTAACTTAATTTACATCTTATAAGGGAAACAACTAAACTTTCTTTTGTTGATCAACGTGTACCTAAACAGTACAAAAACAGTAAACATCTATTACATTATTATATTATTTTTTTTAATAACAACCTTTACGTTCGTTTATATCATTAGAGATAAGTTTCAATTTGAAAAGGAAAATAAATTGCTTTTGTATTTAAAATCGTAAGAACCATTCAAAGATAGTACATACTTTCTTACATAGGTTGAGCGTGGACTATAAATTGTTTTCACGATTGACATACATGCGGAGCATATTTATTAGCGCAATTTCCATTCTGGAGAATTGCGTTTATTAACTCGTCATTTCTGGGAATGGATGGATGAATGTATGGATGTGTGTCCGGGCTTTAAGTCGTATCTCCTCCTCAACGAAGCAACATCGATGACTAGTTCCAAAAGCAATTATGTTAAGCAAGTTACGAGAATGAACATAGGCCATAAAAATTCCGGGTTTCTTTCATGGATTTCCAGAAAAAGCCAAAAAACCTCGAAAAAATGCAGTTTTTGGCAACCAGACCACTTAGCGACTTGAAACATGTACCAATCGATTCCTGCTATAATTTAGAACAATATTGCCGAAGAAAGTTTTCAAAAATATCCTCTCGTTCGGTCACAAAGTTTAAAATTACATAAACACCTACAAACCGATCGTTCTTCTAGCTTGAACGCAGCCCAGCATTATACGTCAGAGCTATTTTTAGATAACATAAGGAAATTGCGCACAAATGTCACTAGACTTTTTTAATTAACTTGTTTTTTTTATAACCAATCTTCTTTTCTCTACAACTCTTCCAAGACAGGGGTCGGCAACCTTTTGAAGCGGAAGAGCCAAAAGTTACAATTTTCAAAATTTCCCTGGTTTTAAAGAGCCACTAACATTTTTTTATTTCAAATATGTTATTATTTTATTAAGATTATTAGTATTTGTGCAAGGAGCTGGAGAGCCGCATCTTGATATCAAAAGAGCCGCATGCGGCTCGCGAGCCGCAGGTTGCCGACCCCTGTTCCAAGATGAGTAAAATCAACAGAGACTCGCTTCGTGAGTCAATTGATGCTGTACTCAAGTATTCCAATGAAACCAAGAAACGCAAGTTCACGGAATCAATTGAGCTACAAATTGCCTTGAAGAACTATGATCCCCAGAAGGACAAACGTTTTGCTGGAACAATCAAATTGCGTAACATCCCCAAGCCCAAGATGAAGGTCTGTGTTCTTGGTGATCAAGTCCTTTGTGATCAGGCTACGGCAAACGACTTGCCCCATATGGATATTGAAGCTCTAAAGAAACTCAACAAAGACAAAAAGCTTGTGAAAAAATTAGCCAAGAAGTATGACGCCTTCCTTGCTTCCGAGTCTCTGATCCGTCAAATTCCCAGAGTTCTAGGGCCGGGTTTGAACAAGGCTGGCAAGTTCCCCGCACCAATTACCCACAATGACAGTCTTAATGACAGACCATAGCTGTTGTTGTAACGACAAAAATGATAAGGAGTGAATGCGGCAAAAAAAAAATGAAAATAAAACGAGAACTATCAAATGATAATAATGAGAAAAATAGATAACCTAATGAGTTGTTGTTACTTAATTAAAACCATTATGAGAACATGCTTTTAATAAACACGTAAATGTCTAAAATACAATATACTGTCTAAATGTTTAAAAAATACCATGACATCGAGTAAAAGAAATATTAAAAAAAAAATATAAGACATTCCTATGAAATTGTAGTTAATAAACATATAAATGTCTAAAATATATGAGTGTTACTTAACCTTTTCCTTACCATAATTTTTCAGGTACGTAAGTTGCACATTTTAAACTTTTGTTTTGCGTTTGTTTAATATAGTATTGCTCTAATATTCTTTCAAACATTAACTAATACCTATTTATTTTTAAGGTGTTTATTTGTCCTGTGTTGCTTTGATTTAGTCTTTTCCTGTCAGACTGTCTGTATACAGTCACCAAACAATAGTACATTACATAGGCACACATCAATGATACCAAACTATATAACATTATGTACCTATTCTCTAGCTGTCAAAGACCGTTGTTATTAATACCAAACGATACAATTTTACAAGACGTATTCTCTATCCCTCAAATGCGCATGTCGATCATACTATCTAATTATTACATAACTAGATAAATGGCCCGTTGAGGAAGGGTACAACGGGCGCTAGGCTGATAGTGCTGTCTCTTTTCTCTAAACTAAAACCAACCCACCCCCCACACACCACCCCCACCCCACCCCCCACCCCCACACACCACCCGCACCCCACCCCCCACCCCCACACACCACCCCCACCCCACCCCCCACCCCCACACACCACCCCCACCCCCCACCACACACCACCCCCACCCCAACCCCTCACCCCCACACACCACCCCCTCCACACACCGCCCCCCCACCCCCCACCCCCCCCAAAAAAAACATGTCTACCGTCCCATTCAACGAAATATAATTATATACTTTTTCCAGTGTCCGCCCCCTCCCAGAATATTCTACCCCCGCCCACGAAAATTTCAAGTACCCCCACCCCTCTCCGGGGAGGAAAAAGTCTGAAAGAAACACTGAAACCAACCCACCCCCCCACACACCACCCCCCACCCCTACACACCACCCCCCCCCCCACCCCTCCACCCCTCCCCCCCAACCCCCCCAAAAAAAAACATGTCTACCTTCCCATTGCAAGAAAACCACTTTTTAGATTAGACACATTAATTAGGCTGTAATTTTATTATAGAGTATCGATGAGGAAATTTCTTTTGAGTTGGGGAGGGGGGGGGGGGGGCTCAGACGTTCTTACGCGGGGGGTGGGACTTCGCCCCTACCCGAAGAATTGTATGCAAGAAACTCTTCACGCAAACCATTTAGATTAGACAACATTTCCTTTTTTTCAATGTTTACGCGATAATCAATGACGTCATATTACTGTGTGCACTCTCTGGTTTGAGATTATGTTCTACTCTACGCTAAATGTGTCGACGTCATATTTCGTTTTTCGAATTACTGTGCATGTTTTTATTTTGCTTGTGTTTTCTCTAGAGCGTTCTTGTCAGACAGAGCGTTCTTGACAGACAGCGAAACTATTATATAGAACGAGAAAAATGGCCCGTTGAGGAAGGATACACCGGGCGCTAGCTTGATAGTGCTGTCTCTTTTCTCTAAACTAAAACCAACCCACCCCCCCCACACACACACCACCCCCACCCCACCCCTCCCCACACACCACCCCCCACCCCCCACACACACCACCCCCTCCACACACCGCCCCCCCACACACACCACCCCCTCCACACACCGCCCCCCCACACACACAACCCCCCCACCCCTCCACCCCCCCACCCCCACCCCCCAAAAAAAAACATGCCTACCGTCCCATTCAACGAAATATAATTATATACTTTTTCCAGTGTCCGCCCCTTCCCCGAAAATTCTACCCCCGCCCCCGAAAATTTCAAGTACACCCACCCCTCTCTGGGGAGGAAAAAGTCTAAACTAAAACCACCCCACCCCCCACACACACCACCCCCTCCACACACCGCCCCCCACACACACAACCCCCCCACCCCTCCACCCCCCCCCCCCCCCAAAAAAAAACATGCCTACCGTCCCATTCAACGAAATATAATTATATACTTTTTCCAGTGTCCGCCCCTTCCCCGAAAATTCTACCCCCGCCCCCGAAAATTTCAAGTACACCCACCCCTCTCTGGGGAGGAAAAAGTCTAAACTAAAACCACCCCACCCCCCCCACACACCACCCCCCCCACCCCCCACACACACCACCCCCCCCCCCCACGCACACACCACCGCCCCCACCCCCCCCCCCCCCCCCCGCCCCCCAAAAAAAAACATGTCTACCGTCCCATTCAACGAAATATAATTATATACTTTTTCCAGTGTCCGCCCCCTCCCCGAGGGGGGGGGGGGGGCTCAGACGTTCTTACGCGGGGGGTGGGGCTTCGCCCCTACCCGAAGAATTGTATGCAAGAAACTCTTCACGCAAACCATTAAGATTAGACAACATTTCCTTTTTATTCAATGTTAACGCGAAAATCAATGACGTCATATAACTGTGAGCACTCTCTGGGTTTGAGATTATTTTCTACTCTGTGCTAAATGTGTCGACGTCATACTTCGTTTTTCGAAATACTGTGCATGTTTTTAAATTCCTTGTGTTTTCTCTAGAGCGTTCTTGTCAGATAGAATTTTTTCTTATGTTTTCTCTAGAGCGTTCTTGTCAGACAGAGCGTTCTTGTCAGATAGATAGATACATACACAGACAGCGAAACTATTATTATAGATGAAAACTAGTACTTAATCGAACATATCAAGGCATTTAACACTGTAAATTACATATTTGAGGCAAAACAATCAAATGAAAAAAAAAACAATTATGTTTATACATTACAATTGTAAATATGCATCAGTCCTCACAAGCCAACTTAACTACCGAAAGTCTGTTGGTCATCGCTACACGAGTCTATCAGTCTGTTATTTGACAAAAACCAAAACAAGCGGACATTGACCAGCCTTTCCAAGAGCTTGTTGATGTTAGAGCAGAGGGAGAACGGTCTGTAGCTCTCAGGTGAGCCCAGATCCCTTGCTGTCTTGGACAGGGCGACCACCTCCATAATTTTACACCTGCTGGCAAGTTCAACACACGTCTATGATTGGTTGATTAAGGCGCGCATTTAGCTCACGAGTAATAAAATAATTTAAAAACAAATCCATCCAATTTCAATCTTTTAATCGTTAAACGTGTTTTCTCTTACAACGAAACAAATATAAATAGCCTCACCGTTAGAGATGAGAAGTTGAAAGAAAAAAAACAAACATGTGATGGAATGTTTTGATTAGCGATGCACTGAACCTTAAGATCTTTATTATCTCCTATTGCTCTAGGGAAATACATTTAGTAACATTATTTTAATGAACAGCATATTATAAACAGTAAAAACATTATATTACTACTGCATCCTAATTTAAGAAATAAACAGAGAAATGCAATTCTTATTTAGAAAACATATCTTAATTGTTATTATAAGGAATATTACATGTGTGATGTTGTTAAATGTAATTATCATTATCGTCGTCCTTGTCGTTGACGTCATCAAACAACGTGGAGTATTACTGTGCTACATGTCTACCCGGATTGGTTATGCCCAGCTGCACACAATGCAGTGTGCTTCACTCGCGTTACACCCACACGTGTGTTGTGTTGTTTTTCTCTCAGGATCTGACCCTACCCGCTCTTAACCCCAGTGGTTGTCGACCACTAACATCCCAACTAGGCAGTGTTATCATATAAATCCAGTGTTTCCCATGAGACTTTTATTTCCGGGGAGGGGGGGGGGTGGGGGGCATTTTAAATTTTCGTGAGGGGGGGTTGCGGTAGCGGACACTATTAAAAGTATATATTTCCTATATAAATTTCATTTAATTTCATTCAAAGGAGGGGGTCGGCAGTGGAGTTTGTCGCCCCCCCCCCCCCACCCTCCTTTGAACGAAGAGATGCCTAGAATAATCTTGATCACTTCCTGACCTAATATAACACACCAACAAATATTAAAATACAAACACATCATTCTTGTCTCCAGTGATAAACCTAACACAAATAAAAAGGTAAAAAAAAACATGTGCCAATAATAATATCTTCACATCAATTAATTGCACAAGGAAATAAAAATAGGATCTGACATTGATTTGGGTAGCCTATATTTAGCGATTATGTTTAAGGGAGACAACTTATATACAACACTTTTTTAGTAAACAAATATAGACTATAAATATACTTAAATCAACTATATTGTTGTTTCTTGATTAGTAAGACATATTTTAATGTTTTGTATTTAAATTGTTTAACACTTTAATTTTTTTTTAAATAACTATATGCAATCAAAATCACAACAAAATAGTTACACTATTATTTTATTTTAAAACCATGTCTACATTATACATTTATAAACAATTAATATTCGGCATTCTCTACGTTACAGATGTTTTTCTCATAAATGATTAAAGAATAGATAAAATGTATTTTATGAATGCCATTGCATGGACTTAGAACAGGGGTCGGCAACCTTTTGAGACGGAAGAGCCAAAAGTTGCAATTTACAAAATTTCCCAGTTTTAAAGAGCCACACACATTTTTTTATTTCAATATTATGATTTTTTTTTTAGGATTATATATATATATATATATATATATATATATATATATATATATATATATATATATATATATATATATATATATATATATATATATATATATATATATATATATATATATATATATATATATATATATATATATATATATTTTATTTCAATATTATGATTTTTTTTAGGATAATATATATATATATATATATATATATATATATATATATATATATATATATATATATATATATATATATATATATATATATATATATATATATATATGTAT